CCCCAAAACCCCAAAACCCCACTCAGCTAAATACAGAAGCAATTAAAATTTCAAATTAATAGTTAAAATATAGATAAGTTTTAAATGAGTGTACCTTAAGGAGGAGGATTTAACTTTTATCAGCCTAAAAATCAATCATTTACCTATAACCACCATAGTGATTAAGACAGTGACTTCTAAGACAATAATACAAACAATAGTCACACATAAAATAACAATCATCATGGAAAGATATTTTCACTGCAATATGAAAATGGATAAATTCAAAATCATGATATGAATAATTCTTAAACATTTAATAGAAACCCCTAAAGATTTTAGGAAGAAATTAAGATCCTAGATCATTAAGAGTATGATCTAAATGATGAAACAAATTAGGATCGAAGAACTGGATTATCCAAAAGAACTCTTGATTCACCCGATAAATCTCTGAGGAAAAAGAAAAAGAATAAACAAAAATATAAAGCTAAGAAGTTTGACTAAAAGCAAATTGACAATTAAATTTTAGATCATTTACCAGACATCAATATGAATTCGATAGGCTCTCCAAATGGTATTAATAACGATTTTATTGATGAAGAAGATGACAACAACCAAATACATTATTCTGACGCTAAACTAAGGTAAAACGATCTTAGCACAATAGTAGCTGATAGAATGAGTAATTATGATCATAATAGAGCAGCCGTAAATTACATGAACAACAGTGATTTATCTTATAAAGTTCCAGGAATCAGCACTGCTAAGAAAAGCAACAAGATTGCTCCTTTAGAGGGAATGCAATTCAATGAATATAAAAATGAAAATCTTAGCAGTAAGTTTGAGTCATCAACCATACGCACAAAAGCTAAAGAGTTTGATTAGTATAGCGTGAGAAACTCCCTAGATGGAGACCAAAGATCTAAGTCTTCGCACTATTCTCAACCTTAAAATAATGGAACTCGAGAAGTTGAAGAAGAAGAATACGGGACTAAAAAATATCAAAATGGACCACATATTTTAGAAGTTGTTCACGGTAGTGCTACTAAACACTTCAATACCAACTCCCCTTTAGACTAGAGTGAAGCAATTAGCAATGAGAAAAGACACCACAATCAATAAAATAGCCAGACAAATATCATCCAAAATTAAATCGAAAATTATAATGAATTTACCTAAGTATTCTAAACTGATAAGAAGAGAGCAAAGCAACTCTTCCTTTACATTACAGTTGCTGGCTCAATTGTTCAATCTTTAAATCTTGCTTTTAACTATACTCTATACGCTGCTGGAAATTTCTCAACTGTCTTAATTTACGATCTCTTTAAGGGATTTCTTATTTTGAGACCAACTTTAATAGGAATATTTACCCTTTACTACACATTCATCATCATTAAGAAAAGTCTATTAAGCGAAGAAATAGAATATCGGGTAAGAGCGATTGATGCTGCAAGTAATTCCATAAAGAAAAGGCCAGCCAATTAATTCAAATGCTTTCATATTATATTCTACATTATATCCCTTCCAGTTTTGCTATATACGGGCTACATTAGATTAATAAGAACAGAAAAAGTATTAATGTGGACTTAGGCTCATTATTTTATTGAGATGATGTCTTAAACTATTCCATTGATCTTAGTTTAGATCTATAATCATTATGGAGACTAATTCTATACTTATTAAGCTCTCGATATACTATTCATGTTTTTTTCTAGCTTAAGTATTATTGATGCCCTTATTGAGCTCTTCTTTAGCAGACATATAATTAGAGACGGGAAGAAAAAAACACTAATGGGAGTTATCTTAAAGAAGAAAAAGACCATATTTTACATTACTACCCTTACAGCTGCATTAGGATTGGTTGTTACAGCAGGATTGTCAATTATTGTTGTGTTTAGCTTTGGAGTAAGATAATGTGGCTCAAACCAATTTTAAAGTGGTCCCTTTTGCATAGATTGTAATAATACACTACCAAATTGCGATGAATGCGATGATCCTTTCGTTTGCAAGAATTGTGTCTTTGGATTATATCCTGAGGGATAAAGTGGATAGTGTTTGCCTTGCTCTATACCACTTGGAAATACTTGCAAAGACTGCAATTCATAGAATAGTTGCAGTTAATGTGAAGTAGGATTATTTATAGAGAATGGAAGATGCTAGAACTGTGGAAATGGCTGTACTGACTGCTCTGGAACTACCTGCTCTTCATGTATTAAAGGCTATACAATGATAAATGGCTCATGCAAAAAATGCTCAGATTTGATTGATTATTGTGATGAGTGCTCTTCTGCTTCTAAGTGTACAGTATGTCAAGGTAATTAATTGTCTGTATAATCAGATGGTAAATGTGGGTGTAAAGCTGGACTATAAGCTTACTATAACACTACAACTTAATAATGCAGCTGCTACTCAGGGTATTTTATGAGGAACTAGACATGCGGTGATTGTGATTCTACTATTTCCGGCTGCTAAAATTGTGTTGGGCCAAATAAACTATCAACTGGACTAATTCTTGATGACGGCTAAAAGCTTTAATGCAACAATTGCGGTTACTATAACTACTTGAGCACAGTAAATTAGACTTGCCTTTTATGTGAAAAGAAATTTGTTGGTTGTGGTAACTGTGGATTAGATGGCACAGCTTGTGCAAAATGTTTGCCAACCCATTTGAAATAAACTGTGAGTGGCAAATCAGTATGCACACCATGCTATAATGTTATAAAGGGTTGTGAAAAATGTGTAAGTGAAAGTTCTTGTTCCTTATGTCTTTCAGACTACAATATGATATTTGGTGTATGCTGGAAGAAGCTATTTTGATTTGATTTATACATTAATTTCATCAATTATGCACGAATGTGTAAGTAATGGGGTTTTGGGGTTTTGGGGTTTTGGGG